GCAAGGTTTCCTTCGATTCAGTCTAGGAGCCGGCTCGCCAGCAACATTCATCAGCGACCCCCATCTCCCCCAGCCCCAGGCAACCACCACTAATCTACTCTGCGCTTCTCCAAGTACCTCTCTGGACAAGGAATCCGACCTATGTCACCATTTGTACCTGCCTCGTTTAGCTCAGTGTCGGGTGCCATGTTGCTGGGAGCTCTGTCCCTGGTGCTTCAGACAGCAGCAGGGGCACCCCCAAAGGGACCGGGTTTGGGCGGAGCTTCCGGACTGAGCAGAGACCACGAAGGAGGACTGACGAGGCTGCCACTTGGGAGGAATGAGCCACCGGCAACCGTGGACTGAGTGGAATCGGAACACGATGTGGAAACCCTCATGGAAAGCAGCAGAGGGCTGTCCGGGAGAGTCCACAAAGCTCACTGCCATCGGGTCAATGGCTGCTCACCGCAGGGCCAGCGGGTTCAAAGCTACCAGTGTCCGGCTTCCCAGACATCCGTCTACTTTCCCTAGAGAGCCCAGCCCCTGCGGGATGGTTCTACCCTGCCACACAGGGGGATCGCCATGAGTTAGAAGGGACGCAGTAGCCGTGCCCCCGCCCTCTGCCACCCCTACCTTGCGGTCTGGTCTGGCCGTGCAACCAACACGGCACAGTCGGTGGAAAAGGCTGTTTCTAGTGACTTTGGAAGGACAGCAAAAATCCCACTGCTATCGAGTTGATGCACTCGTTGGGGCCTTCTAGGACCTAGGAGAACTGCCCCTGTGGGGTTCTGAGGCTACAGCTCTCTACGGGGGCAGGCAGCCTCCTCTTTCTCCCTGGAGGGCGCTGGTGGGCTCGAACCACTGACCACGTGGTTTGTAGCCCAATGCATCACCCGCTGTGCCACTGGGGCCTTTGTGCAGAAGGGCAGTCAAGATGGACTGATCACTGGGAAGAAGGGGAGGGGCAGGACAGTGTAGACAGGCCTACCAGTGTTTGTGTGATGAGAGAATTGAAAAGGAGGTGTACACACACACACACACACACACACACTCTCTCTCTCTCTCTCACAGGCAGACCGAAAATGAAGAAGCACCGCTACCAGGAGTCGGGGTCCTGTCTGGGACCATAGCCAGGGCCTCGTCCCACTCACCTCAAAGCGCTGAGAATTGACCTTCTTGCCCTTCTTGTTCCAGGTCACCCGAGGCTTGGGGTCGCCCGTGGCCTGGCACACAAAGGAGGCCACACCTCCAGACACACCAATCTGGTCCTTGGGCTCCTTGATGAACCGGGGCGACTCTGAGGAGAAGGCAGAGGGTCAGGCAGGCCTGGGGGCATGACAAGGAACCCCA